TGAGCAGACACCAGCTGAGATGAAAAAAAAAGATTTGTAAAAAATTATTAAACGTTTCACGTGCCCCTGAAAGTACCCCTGAAACTACCCTGCCCAGTGAGTAATTAAATTTGAATTTTCTCGATATTGAGCAAGTCATAGTTGATTGAGCAAGTAATTCAATTGATTTTGTTAAACTAGTTGTTAACCCGAACAAAAAGTCTTCAGTCCAATTTGGCAAAACTTGCTAGTCAAAAGAGTAATCAAGTCTTTGCGAAAAATAATTTAAACTAAATTCCAGCATCAAACGAGCCAGAAGGTTTCATTAAAGCTATTGGAATTATATATAGAGCTGATAGGTACATTTTTTGAGTTATTCAGAACTCAGTTTAAGAAAACAATTGTACCTCGGTTTGTCACACATCTAATTCGAATTCTTTTTCTCCTTCTGCAAAATTTAAGTAGGGTCAACTGGCGACCAAGCTAGATACTTCCCAGATAATTTCTACTAACCACCGCGTGACGCTGTCATATTTCAAGCATGGGAACAGATGTAATTGTAAACGAGTTCTCTGGGAAACAAGACATTTCCAAGGACTTTTGAGGATGACGGGTTTTTTGAAATCAGACATAATTAAGTAATCTTTCCAGTGTTTATGGGGAAAAACGTAAAAATTATGAAAAACTTTCATCAAAATTTCAACCAAAAACTTTATAATCGGTGTTACAGTGCGGTCGTAACATTCAGGGTTGTACCCAGATACGCGAGCATTCTAGTTCAACTTCTGCTTACACCTGCGAGCTTGCAAACGTTAATTGTATTGATACAAACCTTCTTCTTTTTCTAAATTAACTATCAAAGAAAGGTTTTCATTAAAAATTTTTACGTATTTGCTGGCACTTTTGCTATAGAAACTATCTGAAGCATTGAAGCGTTCATAGCATTTGTTCTTAGCTTCATTTCGGACTAGTTTTTCTGATATATTTTGTGTCGTTGGCTGAGTTGTTAGAGCGTGAGACTGACAACCTCTAGGCCGCATATCGAACCCGAGACCTTGCTGAGTTTTCACTGTTTCAAGGCCTATTTCTTATTTCTTTTTCTTGCTTCTTATAGAGCTGCTTTTTGTGATCTCGCTAGTATTTGCAAAGCGAAGCTTCGCTTTTGTGTAAAATTTAGAAGCGTCAATTTGTAAAATAGACATCTGCCAACTGTTCACGTTCAGAACCACTAGAAATGTGCTGCAAAATTTTTTTAAAAAAATTACCTTCATACGCTATTGTTTTGTCTTATGCTGCGGACACAGTGCACCTCCTGTCAATTAAGCATCCGTGTAGATATATATATTTTTGACTTTTTCATTTTGATAGTGAAAAATCTCTCCGATTAAAAAATTTTTTGTTTGAACTTATCATGATGATGACAGATAGAAGCATCGCAGATTTTAAAAAATCTTCCTAGATACCAGCAGCGTCCACTCTTTAGAACAACAAAAACGTGAAACAGTAAAGTAACAAAATAAAAGACAGACTCTTTAGTTATTCTTGTCAAAACGGGATAGGTTGCTCAAGTTAATTCAATTACCTACTTTCCGAAATTTTGTGCTGTCAAATGATAAATACTTTCAAAGGATATGCTTCTATCAAATATCGAGCACTGTCAGAATTGTTTATTCCATCGCGCTGTGGATAAAGCAGTTGCAATCGACGAGTGCGGCCAACATAGGACTCCGTTGAAATCGTAACAGATCACTGTTTTTTAATGAACAACAGCCGCCCTTCTTTAGGAAGACACATTCCTCGGCCAACTTTCTAAAGTTAGCCCATTTTCCTTCTGTGTTAAAAATTTTTGAATTGAAACGAATGAGGTCTTCTTTTTCAAAAAGTCAGCTCAAAAACTATCTTGAAAAAGTCCTATTTACATACAAAAATTGCAATCTTTTGCTTGGGACAATGTATACAAACAACCCTAAAAACATTGAGAAACAATGACCGATAGGGCAATTAAGGAAAAAAAAAACTTAAGTCAACCCCCCTGAAACACGCAAAAGCATTTAAAAAACAATTCACCTTTAAACCGGCGCAACATAAGTTGACTTGCGATCCAATTAAGACTTTGCATTACAAAATATTCAATAGAATAAAAGCAGGTTTTCTTTTTCAAAACAGTCAAGCTGAAAAAATAACCTCTAAAACGTTCAAAACAAGATTCAAAAAAAATTGGGTCGATGTCGCTCAGCCGAAAACGAAACTGTAGGCATAAAAAAAAATTCACGCGATAAAATTTCAAAGTTGAAGATTTTCAGCCCATCCCCCTGAAACAAGCATTAGCATTAAAAACAAGTCAACCATAAAACGGCGCCACATAAATTGATTTGCGATCCAAAACTTTGCTTAACAAGATATTCAATAGAAAAAAGAGTCGTCTTTTTCAAAAAGTCAAGCTGACAAAATAACCTCCAAAAAATTCAAAACACTTTATCTACAAGATCTTCATACCATTGATTCGGCCGATCTTCATAAGCAGTCTTAACAAGCTTTGAGAAACATGAACCGCGCAGCAACTAAGGCAAAAAAAACTTGTGTCGATGACGAAAACGAAACTGTAGACGCAAAAATTGTTCAACCTATAAAAATTTGAAGTAGAGTTTTTACCAACCAGCCCTCCTGAAGCAGTCAACGGCGTTTAAAACAAATCGCTCTTAAAATTGCGCAACATAAATTGAAAAGCGATACAAATAAAAAATAATAAAAATTTCACAACCCATCCCTACTGAAACAGACAAAAGCAAACATACAATTCGCCTTTAAAACTGCGCATCCTAAGTTGATCAGCCGATACTCAGCCGACACGCCTAAGCTGTTCAAACAAATCAAAAAACAAAAAAAAGATTCAAAATTTTAAAAAAAATAAGAGTTGCTAATTTTACCAACCGCAGAGGAACTTTCAATTTTAGTAAAAAGTGTTTGAATCAAAAGTTTTAAAAAAACAGTTTAGAAAACGAAATCATTTGAAACATTTGTCAGATGTTTGAGAAAAACGGAAAATCAGCCGACAGAAATTAGGACGAATACCACAAATCTGAAAAAAATCAACTATCTTTAAATAATTGTTTTTGAAATAACTAATGACTACCCCACACTCGCGTAGCACATCCACCGGCGATCTTAATCCAAATTTCTTAAAAAGTTCTCATCAGAGTTGTTGCGGAGACGAAATATCGATAAATTTATAAAACCCATGTCTGATTCGGAAGTTTAAATTGTTTTTTTTTTTCAATTAAACGGCTTTGACAATTTAAATAGCGCAAAATTGCGGGCAACTTATAATTTTGTGCTTAAATTTGTTTCAATTCGCTTTATCGATTTCAATTGCGGGTTTATCAGTTTTTTTCGCCTTATTTTTATCTTTTTTAATTCAGTTTTGAAAGTTTTGACTATTTTATATCGGCGTATCTTGGAGTCCATTGAGACGACTAATTTGGGGTCGTTTGAGAGCAATATGATTTCAACCAAATCTTTTAAGTGAGGACTTAAAACTTTTTCTTTTAGTTTAAGAAATGTTCGGCAGTACATATAGCTGTTCAAGGTTTTTCGCTTTGTGAATGTTTTGTTAGTTTGTTTCAATGCATATTTGACATTCAATTGTCTTTCCAGGACAAACATTGAAAGTATTTTGAAAGATCAATTTTTTTGACATTTTTCCAAAAAAATGTCAAGCTATGTATGAGTTGGAACGCATATAATGCAAAGTTATGCTTCACTTTTATTTTAAATTTTCTAAATGTGCGGTTAACTCGGTTCCAAGATTTGGGATTTCGGATTTTGGAATAAATTTCAGAAGTTGTTTATTTTTCAATTGATGGTCATTCTGCTGGCAGTATTCATTAATTTTTCTATCGGAAGTGATGTGAAGCTCTGTTTTGCCTCTGCAACGCAGCATAAAAAGCAATTTGATAATGTTTTAAGCATATGTTCATAATTTTAAAATTAAAATTGACCCAACTTGAGTATTATGCGTTATTTGTGCCATTAGTTGAAACTTCCTTTTTCGGATCTTTTGAACTCCTTCCCGGCCATTATTGGTCAAAATATTCGAAACCATTGTTAATCATGGGCCACTTTAAAATGACTCATTAAAAACAACGGTTTGAAATATTTTGACCAATAATGCCCGGGAAAAAATTAAAAGATCTGTATAGTGAAGTTTCAACCAGCGCAGAGCGTTTTTTAATGATGAGCGGGGTCTTTTTTGTTTTGCGGCCCAGTTTCATCGTTTTGCTTTATTAAAAATTGGATATTATTGCTTGATTCTGATTGGATGAAGTTAACAAATGCAAAAGAAGTCTGAAGCCTGATTTTAAACATATTAGCTTATTCAAAGTTTGGGTAACTTTGGGCGGCAGAACCGAAAAGACCTTATTTGAAACGGGACAATTTGAAACATATAACGTGTAATTCTCAAATTAGGTCACCTTTAAACAAAAAATGATCGGTCAAATTGCATTGTTTTATGCCTAATACTCTAAAATCCATACCAGAATTAGTCATAGAGTTAGGGCTCGGAGTGTGTGGAAAATTTCAAATCGCCAATGAACTCGACCCAAATAAATCAAGTCTCTTTGAAATTCACAATCAGCTTTCGTCTCTTACGTTTGAAAGGAGATTATTTGTTCAAGAAAGACTCGTAATTTGTTCAGTCTCATTTAGTTTCAAGATTTTATGCATCAAACACCAACTTTGTCACGTGACAGACAATCACGTGCTCATTGTGGACATTTGACCTCTATCATATCTTCAAAAATAACAACTTTGGTCTATTTTAAGAACATTTGTTTGAGTAATTTGATAGCTTATTCTGTTTCTTCTCGCAAAATTAGACTTCAAATACTCGCGTTTCTATTTTAAGATCCAAAAGTCCAGGTACGTCAAATGAAGGTACCAACGGGCAATAGTTCAAATTAGTTATGTCGGCTAGTAAACGGGGTTCAAACTTGTTTACAAAACAAGACTAGTTAAGTTTGATATAAGCATGAAGGAAAATAACTAAAGACTACCCTCGATTTAACACCATTTAATTTCAAGAGGTTTCACTTATGGAATTTCATATAAGGGTTTGTTTCATAAATAGCTGGCAGGCTGTAATATTTACATTTAAACCACCAGTTTTCGTTCCATTTTGCACCAAATTCCCCGGTTAGATATTTCTGTTTGTTGCACTTGAATTGACTTTTATATCCTGAGGACCTTCGTTTTGCTACATTTATATCTGAGAACGGTGACAAATTATGCATCATAACTTAATCACGTAGATTTACTCTTTCGGAAATGGACGAGCGTGATATTTTTTGATGACGGAATCGAAACTTGCTATAAAATCAATTAATTTTATCTTGAAAAAAAACGAGTTATTTAAAGATAAATATAGTCAAAATTAACGACAGCTTTAAAAAATATAAATAGCATTTCAATTAGGTATTAAGTAATCTGACAATCAAACTGAATTAGTTATTTGTTTTTTGATAATTGATGTCACTTGAAACCGACGACCTTTGCTGACTGAAAAAAAAACTAAATTTGTTCACTTACATGACGCATTTTTAAATGCCACGGCTCGATTTTTAAACTTGTTTTTTAAACCGAGCATATCATAAGTGAACTGCTTTTTTACACTAAACAGGGATTGTAACTATATACTCCTAATCCTAACTCGTTCCTTCAAATGCAGTGAATTTCCATTTTAAAAAAAAACGACTCCTAGATACACTGACTGGTATTTGCTCTCTTTATAATTATATCCCACGCTCACGTGTCGTCGGGTGGTACAAAAGTATAGTACTATAATACCACCAGAGAGAATGTTCTAGAATGACGTAATAAGAGTTTCCAATCAGAAATGAACAATCTGGTCGGTCACGCTTTGATACATCATCACAAGATTGTAATTCGCTGATGAAATTACGCTGCTCTGTTTTTGCTTGAAATCCCCTCCCCGCCCGGCCGTAGCCTGGAATTGGTATTTCATTTATTTTATTATACAGCGGAAAAAACTCCACTTTTAAATCCTTTACCGGTCGCCGATCAAAATGAGCTACAACAGAAGTCGGTACTACGAGAAAAATAACCCAGCAACCTAAATAGAGTAGGTGACTCAAAAGAACTAAAATCTAGGCGCAGCTAGCAGAAATAGCAAAGCATATTTAAGTCTTTTTTGCACGGTTATTCCCTGAAGAAACTTACCAATAATTTTGCCTGAAAATAGCATCGGGATCTCGCAAATTATTCCAGGTACTAGACTTTCAATTACATGTATGTGTATGTTACTACAATACCCGCCAATGAAGATGAAAGTAAAAGCATCCAATCAAATTGTGGCATGACTCGTTTTACATGAACATACATGAAAAATTAAAGCTTGTCATCTCAGCGGATATTATAATTCTTTGTTTTATTGGTATACTGATTGAAAATCCTTCAAAATTAACTTCAAAATTAAACAAAATTCCTCGCCTAAAAAGAAATTCGAATAAAATTTGCTTTTATTATCTTCAAAAACGAATCAAAATACCATAAAATGAGCCATTCCAATCATGCTTGTAAAGAATGAATAAAAAAACTCATTTAACCACTATTTGTTTTTCTATGCTCTTTTATTTACTTACTATTAATTGTTGTAATGGTTATGTCGCAATAACTTGGACACTTAATCTACGACATTCTTTGAACATGATGATTTAATTTTATCACTGGCCATATCAAATTGGCAATTGCTGAAGTAACAAAAATGGTTTAAAAAACACCATCTGGACAAGCTCGATCATGTTCATTAAGTCCACTGCTTTAAAAAGATACGTGGGTTTATTATGACTCATAATCTTCATTTGCTTTTGATTAACCGATCGAATTTAAAACTTATTCCCTTCAACGGGGAGGATCAGAAAGTAAAATTGATATTTACAAAATTATTCTTCATTGTCATCACATATTTGTATTCACGAAAAATTTTAATCAATATTTGAACAAATCAAAAGCGTAATCAACGTCGAAAAAATGACAACACAATTTGAGAACCTCAGAATACTTATTTGAGTGTGTTTATCCTGACTTAAAGTCACCGTTACGTCTTTCTACGAAAAGATGAAACTTTCTGGGAAGCATAAGCAATTCTAATAACTACTCGACCATACATCATTTTAAATAACCGTTTACGTGCAAAATTGTCTTGAGTTATCCAGTTATAATTTCGCTAAAAACGAATTTTCGCTAAAAACAAATTTTTTGCGTGCACAAATCATAGCAGAATGCATCATCTATTCTTGGCAATTTATGTTCATTATTCAATTCAAACGTCAGTCGAACAACAATCTTCAGCAGAGAGAATGTAGTTGCATTAAAATAATTGGGGGCGTTCAACGGTTCAGAATAATTTACACGCACTTTCTAATGAGCGGGAAATTACTGACGCTAATTATCGAAGAAAAGAAAATCACTCCAACTTTGGCGGCAATATGTCTGCAACTGCTAAGTAAACAATTATTTAGGCGCGAAAACGTGTAAGTTGTAAATTTTCTCGCTCAAAATCTTAAAGTTTTACTTACGATTGTAAACGATCGCTGTTTAATTTTTGATTGCCACACTTAATATGTTGAAATTTGTTCAAATTTTCGGCACTGTTGAACAAAGTTTTCATTTTCGGCACTGTTGAACAAAGTTTTCATTTTCGGCACTGTTGTACTTCGGCACTGTTGTACTGCCCCAAATAATTGGTTGGTACAATTATAATAATTGAGTCCACAGCAAGTAGAACAGAATGTTCCGACGATATTCTTAAAACATGCAAGAAAAGTTTTTTTTTCATTTTTTCCCTTCAAATTAGTGTTGTTTTTTGTGCGTGGTGTGATGAAAGAATCTGAAGAAAACCTAAAATTTAAGTAAACTCAAATTTAGTTAAACTAAAGAATTTTTGATTTTTTGTCTAATTTAGCTTTTTTTCTCGTCATTATTTTTCGACAAAAACCGTTGCCCGATTTGCCGGTTTTTCTGCGATCTTCGTCGAAAAATGACAAGAAAAGAAGCTAAATTAAACAAAAAAATCAAAAATTATTTTTTCATTTTTTTTTGCATAATGGCGCTAAAAACTTCAAAAAATATTTTTGCTCAAGTGTCATGGCTTGTCTTTCTATAATAAGCCGTCTAGCTTGCTTTCATTCGCTTGATATTAAGCTAAAAATCAAAAAGTGGGAACCGGTTTTTCTCAAAGAAAAAATTTTCAACATTTTTTAATGTCGTTTGAATCACGACTGAAAGGGCTTCAATATGGTATATCACTCAGTCCAGTCCGATCATTATTTGTGGTACCTGATTTTGAGAGGAAAACAAAAAGAGAATATAACTAAAACACACCCGAATACAAAGTTCCTACCAATTTTTCAAATAGTCGGAACAAAAAAAATTCGTTTGAAGACTAAAAACACAATAATCTAATGAGCGTTTCTTTTTTTGTCATAACTTTAAGTTTCGAGGTCTGAAATATTCCTCTTGAACCTGTTTACAATAAGGTTTCAACTATCATAATTGTACCGATTCATTTTTTTGACTAACGAGGATTCCACACAAAAGCCAGCGTGATTATGGATGGGACCCCAATAGACGACGATGACATATTCTATCCCAACTATCAATCCCAACCCTCTGTGGATACTCTAACTTACACTGATCTCCGTCCCCCAAACGAGATCGAGCCAGCGTATCTCTTATCCAGCACAGAAGACCAATGCACATTGGACCCCGAAGGAACAATAAGACTCGACGAAGTTCTTCAACCGCAGCATTTCTTTCCAGAAACACAGGTTTCACATACCTTTGGTTGTTAAAAACAATTCACGCTTTTTGCGACATTTCCGCGCTTGTAATTGGATGAGCTTATTTTGTTTTCCTTTCAGCAAATGAACTTGAATGCAATTTAAAAAGAAACAAGTATAGACCACAATCTTTGAAAAAAATACAAAAAAAAAGTTTTTCTTTTTGTGATTGGTGTCATTTTTTTATGCATGTTGTGAACGAAAAAATAGAATTTAGGCATATTTGAGAGCAGGTGCGGATCTAGGAATTTCTCGAGGGGGGGATTTTCAAAAAAAATTTTGAAAACTTTGTCGACTGTTTTTTTTAGGTCAACAAAATTGATTTTCTGAGGTCTTCCGAAGTACTTAAAAGACACTTGTTTTGAAAATTTTTTGAAAAAACAGGCCAAAAAAAGGCACTTTTTGAAAATTTTTGACCAAAAAACTGCGTTTTTTCGGCGAGCGCTCATCCCTCAAAATTAGTATATATTGGCGCCAAAGGCGCATTTAGAAAAGTTTTGGGGTCCATCAGCCATAAATGGATATCTTAAAATAGTTCAAAAGGGGGACCATTTGGGTCAGCGTCTGCCCCCTCTATCTAAATCCGCTACTGTTTGAGAGTCATAGTAAAAAAGGTCGATTGGAAAACAGTTTTTGAAGAAAAATTATTAGAAAAACGAAAAAAAATTTATTGCGGAAACTTTTCAAATTTTCATGTTTTTGATTCCCAAAGTTGCGATAAAAAACTCAAAGAGCTACCTTTAATTGAGTAAAGCTACCTTTTCACGGCTTCAATTAAGCTTAAATAAGCTATTGTAAGCATACGCTGTTATCTTATTAGCTCGAAATTAGTTCAAAAATCACAAGTTTCAAAACGGCTTTTCTCGACACTGGAAAAAAAGTTAACACTTTTTAATGTCATTCGAATCACGATGACAAGGCTTTAATATGATATGTCACTCGACCCATTCCGATGATCATTTGTGGTACCTGATTTTGCGTGAAAAATAAAGAAAAAAAAGTAAAACACGCCTGAATACAAAGTTCCTCTCGATTTTCAATGGTTTGAACAATTAGAAGTCAAACAAAAAAATATCAACCTTGAGCGTATTACAATTTGAAATTTTTCCGCGAAAAAACAACACGTCCTAAAAAGTGTCTTAACTTCGTTTATTGACACTTAATCACTTCGTGCAGTTACAACAAATGATACTCAATTCCAGGACATTGCTAAGTTAGCAATGCTAACATCATGTTTGTGAGTTAGAACCGACGTGGTTAACTCATAGAGTAATTTCGGATAGGGTACACCGTCTGCTCGTCACGCTATCTTATTTTCGGCCGGATAGATTCGTGCAACTTCTTAGTCTAATACCGATCCTAATCTTACTCTTATATCTACTAGTCTCAGGGTGTTTAACTAGTCTCTGCTAGGCTCAATAGATCTAGAGTATACTGGCTTATTGCAGCTGCTGAAGTTCTCTTGGAGAGGCAACTAATTTCTAAGTTAAATTCAAATCTCTCTGGTGCTGAAATTACAAGTAATTTCAGCACTTACAAATAAGTGGGTTGTTAGTTAGATGGATTATGATTGGTTAATATTAAATATTTTACCGTGATAAAATATCCAATTTATCCAATTATAAAATGTAGTTTAGATCAGGTTCCACCCATCCGGGTTTTGAAGAGTTTTTTAGAATTATCTTTCTGCAATTTGAAGGATGGATGAAGAACGTTGGTATTTTGCGAACATCATTTTCTTGTCCGGTTCCTCTTGGAGAAGAACGTTCCAGGACGCTGGAATAAGGGACATGAAATTGTTACGCCGTCTGATCCCCAATGATATCAATCCGATTTCAAAATGGTTTGCTATGACGGGTTTTTCTGTATTATTTAGAGAACTTGTTTTGTGGGCAACCTCGTCTGGGAATGGCGTGAAGATCGTGTGTGGAAGAAATGCCTTGTAATTCCGATCTGTACGTATACTTGAACATCGAGGTGGTCATTGGTCTATTTCAATGTAGTCCTTTTCTGCGAAGTCAAGTCGTACTCTAAATCCTTTGAGTTGTGATTGTGGACGGCATGTCGGTTGTGCTTAGCCATTCTTTTGTTCGAGTGTGATGGGATCATCTAGTCTTTGGATGTTCGTCTTTGTTGTTGTGTATTGATCTATATACTGCAAAGTATGATTTACATTTTATAAAATTATGTTAATTCAATTTTTTAATCATGATTTTAGTTAGTCGTTTTCACAAAAGCGTTTTGTTTTAGTTTGGTTATTTTGAAGAGATACTCACCCTTGAGTACCTCTTATTAAAAATAGAAATGTGGTTACAAAGCGTGGATGTAGCGCGGTGGGTTAGGCTGGCTATAGAGCATGCTCAGGACGTCCTCTCTGGTGGGTTAGGCCAGGAGTGAGAGTATGATTTCATGCTGTTTCTTTGAGAGGTCCTGTTATGTGATAACGTTTTATGTTGGGTTTATGTTGGTCTTTCTTATGTTACTTTGGTTGTGTTTTTTTTTCAAAACTCAAATTGTTTTTGGTATGGGTTTGTCTTGCGACTTTTTTGTGTTTTATTATTTCTTTCTTAGACTTTATAATAGTCTTCAAAAGAATAAATTATCCAGTTTTAAACTGGGTTATTCCGGTTTTCTTTTCTTAGTCATGCTGTTACTTTATGATTTGTGGTGTTTAGTAAGCTGCGTTGGTTAGTTTGGTTTAGTATATAATTCCTTTCCAACCGGGTTAAAGGAAAGTTTGAAATTTGTTATCGTGTGTTAGAGTTGTTGAGTTTGAAAGCTTGAAACTTAAAATCATTATTTAAACAATGCTTCGTGGGCGAGCTGTGCGAGTTTGGATAGAATTCATGTGCGAGTGAATGAAAATATTTGAAAAAGTTAGTACTGCTTTCTCATTTTATTAATTTATTGCATAGTATTTGAATTTTACTGCGTTTGGGGGAAATTTAAGTATAAATTTTCTTCGTAATTAAGTTTACTGCTTCATGTGGAAATAAGTTATAGATAAAATTACTACATTTGGTATGAATTTTATTACATTATTTAGTGCAAGAGATTAACGAATTTTAAGAGAATTTAACAAGTTTGTATTTTTATTCTTCTTTACTGTTTTGTAGATGATCGTGATGTGAAGACTAGAAATATAAATCAAACATGGATAGAAAATGGTTAGTACTAATTTTAATTTATTAGTGAAGAGTATTTTAAATTATACTTACCTGTTAATCTTCTGGGAAAAAGCCGTGGGGAAGATGTCGTGTATCATATCTGATGTTGTTAGTAATTTGGCTAGTATGCGTATGATGTTTTTAGTTTGCAGCAGTGGCCAAAGCAATTGAAGTGCTTTAATGGTATTTAGTTCTTCGGTGCCTACTGCAAACTCGTAAGGTGTGTTTTGAATGAGGTTATATATTTTATGATTATATTTAGTATTGTGAATGAATTCTAATATTGGTATTTCAATAGGCTGGATAAATTCATGCGGGATCAGGAAGGGTCTGGATTCTTCGGCATTGAAGGTCTTCGTGATGGGACAGAATATATACATTTGGGTAACTGGGTCATAGTTGCGGAGGATGCCGTGGAGGTTAGTATCTTTGATGCAATATATAAAATTAAGGAAAAATGGTGACGTGTACTTTGAGTTGAGAAACTAAAAACGATGGTGAGGTTGTCTTGATGGGGTATGCAAATCAAAATGATTTTGTATAAAACGATAGTATGTATATGTGTGGGTTTGTTTAGTGCGTAACATAATATCGTGGGAACAGTGCAAATTGCGTTCATGTGGTGAAAGAAAGTGACAGGTTAGTGAAAATAACTGAAATTTTTCATGGAAACTTTTGTATGCTTGAATATGAGCTAGTGTTTCTGAAATGATGTGATCATACTTTCTATCAAAAATATTAAGTGTGAATACGTATGATGTTTTGATGAAAAATTTTTCTGTTAGTTGCGGGTTAGCGAAGCGGTCTTCATCTAGAAATTGGTCTTGATTAGGTGGGATGATATTAAGGTCATAATATTCTATTGTAAATTCGTTAGCTCGGGGTGCAGTGAATGTTTTTAGTAATTTTTTATATCCTACGTAAGTAAATTGTCGAGGTGTTAGTGTTGTAGTGAGTCTATATAACATGTCTTCGTTCTTTTCTATGCTGTCATGAGTATTAGTTAGTGGTAGGCAAAGAGGGTTAGTAAAATGATAATAAGCTGTCCAATGAAGTGTTGGCATTAAAACATGTTCATCTACAAAATTACGTGTGTCATTAGTATCGTTAGGTGTGTTTAATGTATATCGTGGAAATGAGGGTAAGGTGATTGCAAGAAATTTTTTTGTGTTTGTATGTTGCGGGTGATTAATATATTCGCAGGCTGTTCCGGGTTTGGTCGGGAATGGGTGATTCGGGAATTTTCGTTTGAAAGTGCGGTAAGCTCGGTGAGTGCTACTAGGTGTTTCGGTGGATGTGGATGATTGTGTGAATGATGCAGTGTAAGCTGAGGAGGGTGTAGGAGTAGGTGGGTTTGAGGATTCTATTGTGGATGATAGTTGATGTATTGTGAGGGTGTTAGGGTGTATTAACTGTTGTTGTAGGGTAATAAAATTATCAAGTTCCTGGGAAATTTGGGGGGTATCTGGGGAATTATTATATGATCTGTCGGAATGAAGTGGAGAATAGGTTGGGGTCACTTGCGAAGCATAAGAAGGTGTGGAAACGGATGGGAGTGAATGATTTGATGGAATTGGTTGAAAAGGGGTTTTGAAAAAACTGAGGAGTTGGTCTGAGTATAATTTTATGGAGATGGTTCGGAGTCTGCAAATTCGTCAGGGGTTTCTACATTAGGGTTATTAAATTGTGAGATGGAGTATAAAACTGAAATATCTGAGTTAGTATCGGAATTCGTGCTTGATGATATATTAATAATCGGAAAATCGAGTGGTGGGAAAGCAAAAAAAGGGATTATTGGGATTTGAGTTTGGAGGTTGGCTG